TTTTTTTTTCAGTTTACTATAAATACATCACCTACTCCAGAAGACCTGATGTTGAGACAATATATTTATGGACCCAAGATACAGATTTATAGAGAAGATTGTGAGGTTCTTCACCAAAAGATTGAAGAGTAAGAAAAATTTAAATTTTTCTGTAGTTTTGTTTCGTTTTGTTGTTATTTTTTTGTATAAGAAAATAGTCTGTTTTGATTAGAGTAGCACTGTCCCTGGAAAAAGTTGATAGCATTAATTGTCAGTGAAAAGAATAGGTGAAAAAATTTTGCCTTTGTAGTCAGACAAGCAACACTAGCTTTGTGACCTTGAGCAAGTTTTTGCGTTTTTTGTTTTTTTGTCTTTTTGAGACAGGTTCTCACTATGCAGTTCAGGCTGGCCTTGAGCTCACTTTGTAGCCCAGGCTGGTCTCAAACTCTCAACGATCCTCCTGCCTCAGCCTCCTGAGTACTGGGATTAGAAGCTTAGAAGCGTGCACCACCATGCCTGGCTTGAGCAAGTTATTTAACCTTTACTTCAATATCCATAAAGTGAGGTTAATAATACCTATGTATTGTTATACCTTTGCTATTTGAGTAAATATTATTCTATAAAAGTATGAGCCACCTATGGTGGAGCAAATCTGTAATCTCAGCATTCTGGGTGGGTAAGGCAGGAGGATCACAAATTCAAGACCAATTTGGGCAACTTAATGATATAGTAGGATCTTTTCTCAAAATAAAAAAACAATAATAAAATGGGCTGGGGGTATAGCTCAGTGCAAAAGCCCTGTGTTCAGTCTCTAGTGTCACAAAAAAGTAAAATGAAATAACAAACTAAAGTAAGGTATGACTTTGAAATAAACTGGGAACTTTTACTTAAAATCTCATTACAGCTTCATAGTTGTTATGCATTGACAGGCCTTAAAGATATAAGCAGCATGTTTTTACATTAGAACATATGTTAAGATGAAAATTATTATTGTGAGAGGTTTTTTTATTTATAGCATTATTAAACTGCTATTTTTCAAGTGTTAAATAATCATACTTGCCACTTGAGTGAATTTTCCCATTTTTTATTTAGAAAAACCCTGGAAGGTCTTGCCTAGCATGCACAAGGTTCTGGGTTCCATTCCCAGTACCACAAAAACAAAACTAGGAGGAATTAAATTAAATATGGCTGTAGACCTCAGCTATTTTGTTCTAGCTGACTTTTGAACCCTGTACTAATGAACTTTTATGTATTTAAGATTAAAAGTCTCTGCACTGAACCAAGATAAACTGTTGACTGATGTTAATAGGAACCTGTGGGAAAAAATGAGACACTGCTCTGATGAAGAGGTACTTTTGTTTCATTTTCTGAATGAGAAGCAATACAGATATTTTAAACAGTAATTATTGTGAAATAAGTAACTGTTACCTGATAAGCAGTGATTAGTTCTTTTTTTGTGTGGGTACCAAAAATCGAAATCAGTACCTCACGCTTGCCAGGCAGGCAAGTGATTAGTTCTTTAATTTATTTCTTAGATGCAGTATACTGCCAAGGCATTATTTAATCACAAATAATTGTTATTATATAATTTTTTTAAACCTGTGATGATTATATGAAATATATTTAAGGTTTTCACCTTGTTTGCCCTTCACTTAGTTGTTTTGTGGTTTTTTTTTGTTTTTTTTTTGGCTTTTTTTGAGACAGGGCCTCGCCCTGCAGTTCAGGCTGGCCTTGTGCTCACTTTGTAGCCCAGGCTGGTCTTGAACTTGCAATGATCCTCCGGCCTCAACCTCCTGAGTGCTGGGATTATAGGCGTGTGCCACCACGCCCGGCTACTTCACTTATTT